TTAGGAAGGGAAGAGAAACTTCACGAACTGAAAGACCGAGAGGCGGGACCCAAGAGATGAGATCCAGCCCAATGCAAGTCCAGCTATGCGAATACTGAGTAAGCCATATGACACATGCCATATACGTGAGAACAGAACTGCAGTCTGCAGCACCCACGTTGGAACCCCAGCAACATCAGGTACAACTCCATAACGAGGCTTCTCTCATAGCTATGTGGGATGAGGTACAAAGCAAGGGTTGAAATAGCTGCACATAGAGAGAGAGAGAGAGAGAGAGAGAGAGAGAGAGAGAGAGAGAGAGAGAGAGAGAGAGAGAGAGAGAGAGAGAGAGAGAGAGAGAGAGAGAGGAAACCTTATATAATATCCAGATGAACTTACTGGGTGGATAAAATTTAACTTTGCCTGATCAGGAGAGTACTCACACACACATACAGAAGCGTTAGAGGGGGACATGATCACCACATACAAGATTCTCAGAGGAATTGATAGGGCAGATAAAGACAGACTATTTAACACAGAGGGCACACGCACTAGGGGACACAGGTGGAAATTGAGTGCCCAAATGCCATAGAGACGTTAGAAAGATTTTTTTTTCAGTGCCAGAGTAGTAGACAAATGGAATGCATTAGGCAGTGATGTGGTGGAGGCTGACTCCATACACAGTTTCAAATGTAGACATGATAGAGCCCAATAGGCTCAGGAACCTGTACACCAGTTGATTGACGGTTGAGAGGCGGGACCAAAGAGCCAGAGTTGAACCCCCGCAAGCACAACAAGGTGAGTATAACTAGGTAAGTACTTAACCCACATTCGCCAAGCACTTGAAACCAGAGACCATTGTTATCTGGCGGTGGTGCTCAGAGGCCTCCACTTACCGGCCTGACTTGCGACCTTATGAGACTAACAATCGATAACCGGCCACACTATTGTGACCTTCACACACCACCAGTGCTTTTGTTTGGCCTCTCTCCTGTGTGTGTGTGTGTGTGTGTGTGTGTGTGTGTGTGTGTGTGTGTGTGTGTGTGTGTGTGTGTGTGTGTGTGTGTGTGTGTGTGTGTGTGGTGTGTGTGTGTCTGTGTGTGTGTGTGTGTGTGTGTGTGTGTGTGTGTGTGTGTGTGTGTGTGTGTGTGTGTGTGTGTGTGTGTGTGTGTGTGTGTGTGTGTGTGTGTGTATTCACCTAGTTGTGCTTGCGGGGGTTGAGCTCTGCTCTTTCGGCCCGCCTCTCAACTGTCAATCAACTGTTACTAACTACTTTTTTTTTTTTTCCGTGTGTGTGTGTGTGTGTGTGTGTGTGTGTGTGTGTGTGTGTGTGTGTACTCACCTAATTGTACTCACCTAATTGTGCTTGCGGGGGTTGAGCTCTGGCTCTTTGGTCCCGCCTCTCAACCGTCAATCAACTGGTGTACAGATTCCTGAGCCTATTGGGCTCTATCATATCTACATTTGAAACTGTGAATGGAGTCAGCCTCCACCACATCACTTCCTAATGCATTCCATTTGCTAACTACTCTGACACTGAAAAAGTTCTTTCTAACGTCTCTGTGGCTCATTTGGGTACTCAGCTTCCACCTGTGTCCCTTGTTCGCGTCCCACCAGTGTTGAAAAGTTCGTCCTTGTTTACCCGGTCGATTCCCCTGAGGATTTTGTAGGTTGTGATCATGTCCCCCCTTACTCTTCTGTCTTCCAGTGTCGTGAGGTGCATTTCCCGCAGCCTTTCCTCATAACTCATGCCTCTTAGTTCTGGGACTAGTCTAGTAGCATACCTTTGGACTTTTTCCAGCTTCGTCTTGTGCTTGACAAGGTACGGGCTCCATGCTGGGGCCGCATACTCCAGGATTGGTCTTACATATGTGGTGTACAAGATTCTGAATGATTCCTTACACAGGTTCCTGAACGCCGTTCTGATGTTAGCCAGCCTCGCATATGCCGCAGACGTTATTCTCTTTATGTGGGCTTCAGGAGACAGGTTTGGTGTGATATCAACTCCTAGATCTTTCTCTCTGTCTGTTTCATTAAGTACTTCATCTCCTATTCTGTATCCTGTGCCTGGCCTCCTGTTTCCACTGCCTAGTTTCATTACTTTGCATTTACTCGGGTTGAACTTCAACAGCCATTTGTTGGACCATTCACTCAGTCTATCCAGGTCATCTTGTAGCCTCCTACTATCATCCTCTGTTTCAATCCTCCAGTCCTGTTTTTGCAATGCAATGAGAAATTACGTGAGTGGCATTACATAGACCTTTTGCGTATATATAATACTACATGGAGGTACCCGGCAGTGCCCGGGCCAAGCCCTATAGTGGCTGCGCCCTTTAGGAACCAGAGGCGATGCGAGCATCGATGGATACCGAATTGAGTATTAATCTATATCTATCAAAGAATGTCTGTTTGTGCCTGACACTTCAGGCTATTCTCACAGAAAGGTGAAAGGGTGAGTGGTCTAGGGTATGGGACGGACACACCTTGAGGTTACCTTGAGGTGCTTCCGGGGCTTAGCGTCCCCGCGGCCCGGTCGTCGACCAGGCCTCTCCTCCATAGGTTGAGCGACGGTCTTACTTCAGGCAAGTCGGCGTTCAATCCCCGACCGTCCAAGTGCTTGGGCAGCATTCCTTTTTCCCACCGTCCCATCCCAAATCCTTATCCTGGCCCCTTCCCAGTGCTGTATAGTCGTAATGGCTTGGTGCTTTCTCCCCTAATAGTTCCCTTCCCTTTCCCCACAGTTTGAAAGGATTTCTGAAGCCCCGCGCCTAGCTTCCTCAAAACTAATGGTAGACTGGTACATTTTGAGCATTTCACACCGCTAGGCTCTTCCCACCAGAGGACCACCCCACGCTGCTAATGGAAACTATTATATTATTTGTTATAAAAGAGAATGAGACAGAGTGTAGCAAAAAAGACAGAGACAGACAGACAGAGAATGACAGACATGCAGATATAGACAGAAACAGAGATAGGGCAAAGAGACAGGAACAAACATAAAAACACAGAGACATGTTCAGACACAAAGACAGACACGGAGATAGAGAGGAAGGAGATGAGGGGAAAAGGGGAAATGTTTAAAAAAAGGGGAGGAGAAGGGAAGAGAAATTTGAGGAGAGAGGTGAAGACAGGTAGAGAGAGGTGTGGGGGGGGGGAAGAGGTGAGGAGAAGAATGAGAACAGGATGCTGAGAGAGAATGAGGAGGAAGGTGAAAACGGTGAGAGAGGTAGTGAGAGAGAGAGAGAAAGGCAGATAAAAAAAAAGAGAAGAGACGGCGTGAAAGGGGGTGGGGGAGTGGTAAGTCCACTACGGGCTCGCCATAGCCCGTGCTACTCGCAAGTTTCTGCTCCGAGTAGCTGAATCTAAAACAACACCAACAGGAATAGGATATGGGAGCAACGGGGCCGATCCCGACCCGCCTATTACACACAAAAATCACAATATCATATTATATCAAATGAACAAATCCTACAGCCTATGTTAGTCGCCAGACCCTCACCAGTCACTGCAAAGTTGGATGAGACTAGCCCTAACCGTCTGGCAAGTAACCTTGAACAGTCAGACATTCTTCTATAAATATAAGATTATAAACGGAATAATATAAACGCTATAAAAAGTTATAAAAATATAATAACATTTTATATTATCCTCATCAATAAGCTCACTGACATTACTGTCATCATTACAACTCTTTATCAAAGGACAAATATCAAAGTCAGGCCTGAACGCTGAAGTATATGAAGGTTTTATATAGACTTATATAGCTATAACGGCAAAGTTATTTGCCGTAGATTTATTTTTATTGTTGTCGGAGGCCGATGTCGAGTTCCGGGGTGTAAACAGAAGACAAACGACTCTGCTGGAACAGATGAACTTGTCGTTTGTTGAGCTCGTTGGAACAATTTAGTAAATGTTTGTTGCAGTTTGTATAGCGATGAAACGTGATGAAATTTTATCTTTTCTCTCTCTTTTCTTCACACACACACACACACACACACACACACACACACACACACACACACACACACACACACACACACACACAAGAGACAAACAGACAGACAGAATAGTTAGAGAGGACATAATCACCACATACAAGATTCTCAGAGGAATTGACAGTGTAGATAAAGACAGGCTATTTACCACAAGGGGCACACGCACTAGGGGGACACGGGTGGAAATTGAGTGACCAAATGAGCCACAGATATGATAGAAATATTTTTTTCAGTGTGAAAGTGGTTGACAAATGGAATGCATTAGGTAGTGATGTTGTGGAGGCTGACTCCATACACAGTTTCAAATGTAAATATGATAGAGCCCACTAGGCTCAGGAACCTGTACACCAGTTGATTGACAGTTGAGAGGCGGGACCAAAGAGTCAAAGCTCAACCCCCGCAAGCACAAACTAGCTGAGTACACAAACATTATGTTTACACTTGTTTAATTTCTCATTCTCTCACATTCTATTCCAAATTAATCACTATATTTTCTTTCTCACTTCCCACTTACACTCCCACACACTTTCCCCTCCCTCACACTCACGCACTCTCCCACGCACTCACCCACGCACTCTCCAACGCACTCAATCACTAACAATCACATATCTCTCTCTCCTGAGTATGCTTGCCAAGTAAGCGCCTCATCGTTGCCAATGGAAATAATACCTTCCAGCATGTGGACACAAGTCCGTAATTCATTTGGTAATGGCACGGAGCCTCTGACGAGAGGAGATAATTAAGGCACAAGTAGACGTTAGGAGATGAGAAAAAGAGAGAGAGGAGGAGGAGAAACCTCCTGAGAGAGAGGGAGAGAAGAAACCCCCTGAGAGAGAGGGAGAGAAGAAACCCCCTGAGAGAGAGGGAGAGAAGAGGCATGGAACATTGCGTCTCTTACATATTGCGATTGTTTTCCTGCGCATCTCTCTCTTCCTTTGGCTCGTGTTCACCCCCCCCCCTCCCCCCCCAGGCCCATCTGGCTGAGAGCACCTGGTGTAAACTCCTCGTGGCGTCAGTGACGCTATGAGCACCGTGGAGGGGAGACGTGTGTCTCTCTCGCTCTCCCGCGCCCAGCGACTTAATATTTCTCACTCGCGCTCCGTCCATCGCGTTCAAAACGAAATCTCACGCATAGACACACGCACGCGTGTGACTCTTCCCCGTTCGTGTACGCAAGAAGCAAAGAACGAAAATCCCCCCAAAAAAAACACCTATACAGTTTTTAAACCCTGTAACTCGCCAATAATTAGATTTCAAAAGTGTTTCATGTAAAAATTTAAAATGGCAAGCACTAGATTTAAGGTTAATTATCGCTGCTTTCTCTAATTGCTATATTCGTCAAGAGGCGTAAGCACAAACCTCTGAAATGAGTTCGAGTTTCAGACGTCATTGAGACATATCAAGCAAAAAGTACCTGAAATAAAAAAGTTTTTTTTTCTGCTATTGCATAACTTTTTGATAAGCACAAAGGTAAGTAATTCAAGTTAAGTGCTGTTGTTTGTGTAAATTGTGCTGTTGTGTTTGTAAATTAAGCTTTTGTGTTTGTAAATTGTTCGGTTGTTTGAGCGTAAATGATGCTGTTTTGTATGTAAACTGTGCTGTAGTGTGTAAATTATGCTGTTGTGTGAACAGTGTGCTGCTGTGTTTGTAAATTGAGCTGTTGTATTTGTAAATTGTTCGGTTGTTTGAGCGTAAATAATGCTGTTTTGTGTGTGTAAATTGCGTTGTTGTGTAAACTGTGCTGAAGTGTGTAAATTATGCTTTTGTGTCAACATTGTGCTGTCGTGTAAATTGCGTTGTTGTTTGTAAATAGCTTTTGTTATAGTTGTAAATCATTTAGGTGTTGGTGCAAATTGCGTATTGTTCCAAAACATTACGTGTAAATTACATTGCAAAACTTGTAAATAACGTTAGAAAACGTGTGAATTTTTTTTATAAACTGCGTAAATGTTATTAAACGCGTAAGTTACGTTATAAAATGTGTAAATTTGTGTGAGTCAGGAGACATTTTTTTCAGTGCAGTGTACCTGTGTGTAAATTAAGACGGCCAAATACAAAGCCAAAATGTAAATTGTTTTACGCTATCATTAATCCCACGTAAATATTTGATTTACCTGTATATAATTACTTTGATTTGTTCATGATCACATTTATTATTTGATTTTTATTTGTTTCATTTAATATGAGTTTTTTCATTTAATATGACTTGATCAAAATTAATGCTGCAAAATTAAGAGTACTTAAATTAATTTGTTTATTAATTATGATTATGTAATCATAAATAAATACAAAAATAATTATAATCGTGTTTTATATTTTAAATTGTAATTTCAATGTTTTTGTGTTTCTCTCACAACTGGGCACATCTTATTATATGCATAAATCATATTTATGTGATTTCTCAACAAATAAGAGATATATATATGAGAAAACGTAATAAAAAATCCATATACTAATTTTATATAAATTATGATACAGTATCAGTTACTAATAATGGGATCTTTAGTTACCCATTTTTTTACGTTTTCTTTTTTGTTTTAGAGAAAACCTATTAAACATGGGTGACTAATGAAAAATACCAGAAATGATATCAAATTCAATATTTTTGAATATGTATTCTCTGGTGCAATGATGCCAATATACTCCAAAATATATGCATAATAATAAATGTTATAATTATACTATAATTGCCAGAGATATATCTACTCTTGGCATCTATGGGGATTTATCAGCAAAAATTTATTAAATGAAAATTTATGTTAACCCCCTAAACTGCGGAGTTTTTAAAAAGCACCACATCAAGGTATGCTTGGAAAAAAACAGTTACCAATTCACATGGGGAAAAAAAGTCGAAAATGGCGTGAGGTGCAGAGGAACAAATCGTAGATAGCAACTGGAACAGTGAAAAGATTAACATCTAAAATCAACAATAATTCCACAAAGAACACGCTCCAGAATAGTGTATTGAAGAATAGTGTGATCCGACCACTTCTGTAGAACACTATAACAACATCTTGAGGTTCTCATCAGAACAGATAACCGCACATGAAGTTTTACTGAGGACCCGAAAGCGACTGTAAATTACACTAAGCGAATGAATCCCGATACAAATTTTATCTTGGGTGATGATATTTGAAGGTTGTGGCCCTAGAAAAAAGTCTCCTTTACTATTTGTACATTTTTTACAAGTTTAATATTATTTTCATATATTTTTATTATTATTAGCAAGTTAATTATCCTTATTCATTGGAAGTTGCACCCATAAATGTGACAAATCTATCTTGTGGAAACTGGAAGGGCTATGTATGGATACTCTTCACTCAAGTGCCTATTTTGTTCTCCAGTGCGCACTCAGCGTACAATTACGCACAGGAATCGTTGATCACTACGACGCACTTGTTAAACTAAATAAAAAATATGCTTCTTTAATTTATTTAAAAAGATTTTTTTCAGTGTCAGAGTAGTTGACAAATGGAATGCATTAGGAAGTGATGTGGTGGAGGCTGACTCCATACACAGTTTCAAGTGTGGATATGATAAGAGCCCAGTAGGCTCAGGAACCTGTTAGGGGTTAACAGAGAACATAGAAATTAAGTTGATTTTACATTCTTGTAAAGCCACTAGAAAACATAGCGTTTCAGGCAAATGTTATCTTCTTCTCGTTAAGAGTTGGCAGAAGCTCGTCAATTCGTTTGTAAAATGCTGCATTTTTATTAATTCTTAACATATTGCTGCCTAATCAATACATCAAACACGGTGTCCTAATGCATAAATTTGTTTAAAGACTTTTGTGCATGATCTACGAAATTAAATTACAGCATGAAATTACTAACAAATTCTTGAGTCTCCCCCCCCCATAGTCTTTTATCACAAATTCTTACGTCTATTTTGCTCTTGAAATTTCTTCTCAATATACCTTTGCCCGTGGCACGCAGAACCCATTCATTTCAAAAAAATTTATATAAAACTTTCTGTTATCTGTGAGATATGGTGGAGTGTACTTTTTCCCTCTTAACTTCGTGGCAAACTTTGGGCAGTAATACAAATCTTTTAACTTCACCGCTAAAGATCATACTCTATTATTTTTTTTTAGGTTAGTAGTGTGGTAAGAATTAATTTATCGTGTGGATGAAGGTGGTGATGTGTGTACTCACCTAATTGTGCTTGTGGGAGGGGGAGACTGCCTGGGATTAATTATGACTCTTTGGTATTGTCTCTTTAATCAATTGGTTTCATAAACTATTGTATTTGGAACGCTATGCGTGTTAGTGGCTTTACATGTAAGAACTCTGTTGTGTGTGTGTGAGTGTATATATATATATATATATATATATATATATATATATATATATATATATATATATATATATATATATATATATATATATATATATATATGAATGAAAACTCACACCCCAGAAGTGACTCGAACCCATACTCCCAGAAGCAACGCAACTGGTAACTACAGGGCGCCTTAATCCGCTTGACCATCACGGCCGTCAAAAGGAAGTGATAGCCGAGGCTATTTGAGCCACTTCCCCGACGGCAACTCGGATGGTAATCTTGGGCATAGCATTTCACCAAATCACCTCATTCTTTGGGGCACACGTGAGGAACACAAATGCGAACAAGCCTGAATGGTCCCCAGGACTATATGCGAATGAAAACTCACACCCCAGAAGTGACTCGAACCCATACTCCCAGAAGCAACGCAACTGGTAACTACAGGGCGCCTTAATCCGCTTGACCATCACGGCCGTCAAAAGGAAGTGATAGCCGAGGCTATTTGAGCCACTTCCCCGACGGCAACTCGGATGGTAATCTTGGGCATAGCATTTCACCAAATCACCTCATTCTTTGGGGCACACGTGAGGAACACAAATGCGAACAAGCCTGAATGGTCCCCAGGACTATATGCGAATGAAAACTCACACCCCAGAAGTGACTCGAACCCATACTCCCAGAAGCAACGCAACTGGTAACTACAGGGCGCCTTAATCCGCTTGACCATCACGGCCGTCAAAAGGAAGTGATAGCCGAGGCTATTTGCGCCACTCGGCTATCACTTCCTTTTGACGGCCGTGATGGTCAAGCGGATTAAGGCGCCCTGTAGTTACCAGTTGCGTTGCTTCTGGGAGTATGGGTTCGAGTCACTTCTGGGGTGTGAGTTTTCATTCGCATATAGTCCTGGGGACCATTCAGGCTTGTTCGCATTTGTGTTCCTCACGTGTGCCCCAAAGAATGAGGTGATTTGGTGAAATGCTATGCCCAAGATTACCATCCGAGTTGCCGTCGGGGAAGTGGCTCAAATAGCCTCGGCTATCACTTCCTTTTGACGGCCGTGATGGTCAAGCGGATTAAGGCGCCCTGTAGTTACCAGTTGCGTTGCTTCTGGGAGTATGGGTTCGAGTCACTTCTGGGGTGTGAGTTTTCATTCGCATATAGTCCTGGGGACCATTCAGGCTTGTTCGCATTTGTGTTCCTCACGTGTGCCCCAAAGAATGAGGTGATTTGGTGAAATGCTATGCCCAAGATTACCATCCGAGTTGCCGTCGGGGAAGTGGCTCAAATAGCCTCGGCTATCACTTCCTTTTGACGGCCGTGATGGTCAAGCGGATTAAGGCGCCCTGTAGTTACCAGTTGCGTTGCTTCTGGGAGTATGGGTTCGAGTCACTTCTGGGGTGTGAGTTTTCATTCGCATATAGTCCTGGGGACCATTCAGGCTTGTTCGCATATATATATATATATATATATATATATATATATATATATATATATATATATATATATATATATATATATATATATATATATATATATATATACAAACACGTGTGTATGTGTGTGTGTGTAAATCACGAAAATTAACACGTGATGAAAAATGTGACAGTGTCAGACCACGAAGGAAGAATTGAAACAGGTATTTCCTTAAGTACTTTCGTATTTAATAATAACCTTCTGAAGATGTATTAAATACGAAAGTACTTAAGGAAATTCCTGTTTCAATTCTTCCTTCTTGGGTCTGACACTGTCATGTATATATATATATATATATATATATATATATATATATATATATATATATATATATATATAGGACATGCATGCTGAAGTATGCCCTACAGGTCTCTGTATACCCTGTATTCCCGTGTATGTCCCTAAACTATGGACATGCTTTGCATTCCCGAGTTTGTCCTGCATGCTCCTGTATATCCTACATACACTTGCATACATGTATACCAAAGCAAAACGAGATATTCACCGGTAAACTCACAAAACTCGGGTTAACAGGAAACTCTCTCCCTTGTGCTGTATCCTATTTCAGAGCGATCTAATATTAATGGCAAACATAGTCGTGTTGATCCTACTAAAATATTGAGTTCACTTAGAGAGGGACACTCTCTTTCTCTCTCTCTCTCTCTCTCTCTCAAGTGGCTGCATCCTGAACCGCACCCACACTCCACAAAGCC